TATGAGTGCTCTTTTAGGTTCTGCTCACCTAAGGCCGTCGGCACTACACTCAGATCGAATTCGAGCCTTCTCCCTGTGATAACATATAATCGCGAAAACCGCATTGCAGTCACAAAACTGAAGTATCGCTACGTGTAGAAATTTTTTTAGCAAATAAAATCCTTGAACTTTTCCTCTAGACAGCTTGCCAAGAAGAGACTATTACTAACGATAAGAGTAGCAAGAAACAGCTTAATAGTTCACTGCTTAATCGTGCACGGTTCTGAAAATGATTTTTGAAATTTTTAAAACATTTAATACTGCTTCATTCACAAAGCTGTTACCGCAAACAAGAAGTGGTCAGATTTAAATCTTTGATGGCCTTATTGAGTTTTGGAATACTTCTACACGCTTCATCCTATGTCTACCAGAACTAAATCAGTTCTATTATATGAACGGCATTAGTATATCGTTTGATTATATGTATGTCTGTCCGTTCGCAGAATGCCTGAGATGTGATAGGGGTGGGTAGGAGAACGGGACTGCTAATGAATATGGCGAGACAGCAGGTCTTGCGGTATCATCGGCGGCATGCGGCTTGCACGTTTCGTGCTGACATGGTAGTATTATCCCCCATCACCTCTTTTCAGATCTAGCAGTTCGATGTACCTGGTCCACAGTCAGCGGGAAGTCGCATCTTTCGCTTTTTGCGATAGAGGAAAGGAGGAACATGCGATGTTATCAGAGGAGACGCAGGGAAGTTGTGGGTCGTGTTGTAGTGGGCGAGGAGAGGGCGTCCTGTGGCAGCTTTTCTGACGATCTTGGCGGGAATCCCAAGAAGAAGCATGTTATGGAAAAACATGAATCAATTATTTCTCTGAACATATTCACCTCCCCTCCTCGCCTCCTGCTCGACTGCTCGACGGCAGTATGCAGGGAAAAAGTGGGCGGAGTTGGAGTGTGTTCGTGGTCTTTGTGAAGCACGGCTGGTAGGCCGTTGTCATAGTTTGCGAATCGAGCGATTCGCCAGCGAATCGAACGTTGCACCAGCGAGTCGAATTCTGTACCAGCGAGTCGAACTAGGTACCAGCGAGGCGT